GCTCGGCGGGAATAAGCCGGAGCCCGGAGCTGTCGAGAGTTGGCTGCAACAGGTGTGTTGTTCTTCTTTCGGTACTGTAATGCGATGCGTGGCTGGCGGCGGGCTTATATTACTTGGACCTGGTTGGCGGGTGTATCGGGAATGTTGGGATGTTGAATGATAAGAGCCGGGGAGGTCGGTTGGTCTTCCGGGGGTTCGGAGAAGTTGCCCTTTCATGAGGTTCATGAGTAAACTGGTAACGAACAACAGACATACTTGCTGTGCAACGCGAGACCCAAAAGTAGTTCGTGTTGTTTTTTACGTGTTGTTGTTCTGCATAACTGTGTTTGATGCCAGTGAATGATGAGGGGAATTTCGCAACTGAAGGGAGAATAAACATGCCGTCTCTTTACCATGAAAGGAGATTGCGCAGAAGATCAAGTGTTCCCCATCTTCGTTAGTGAGACAATTCAATAAGCCCTCCTGCTTCGGATTAAAGAAAAATATGATTGTCTTCCAGTGTATCGCTGAATTAAAACCGAGGCAATGGCCGGGAATCCCAGAGTCTATTCTATCGGCGGTCTGGGGGAAACTGGGGGAAGAGGTTATGTTGTTATGATGGGAAGTACGTATGTTCAACACTTTCGAAAGAAGCGCTAATTAGCGGCAGATGCCGAGTTCGCTAGCACCGAACAAAGTCCATCGTACGCTATGCTTATTATAAATTGAACGGGTTCCATGATCCTTTACAGTCCTTGACGCGCCGGACGCTCAAAAAGTCTTTATCAAAGCACATCACGGCCAATTGTACTGCAAAAAGCGAACGGTGTAGGGGCTCATTGTATCAGAACCATGAGGAGGAGGCACGGAGTCAGATCACTGCCAGTGACGGACAACCGGGTGGCGTTGTCATGCCGTTGTGAGGCTATCCTGATGGAAATTGTTGGGATGTGAAGATAGTAAGCTTGAAGGACAGAACGCTTTCAGTTGCATGGCCACGTTTGTGCTTCGTATAAATTTGCAACGGTGCGTAATCTCAAGGCAACCAGTTCCTCCCCCAACTCTGAATCCTCATCGATGAGCTCTCAGCCGTATGTCAAGGCAAATTTACTCGCTATATTATGAAGTAACTGATAAAGCTCGATATAGCCCCGCTCAAAAGCGTATCCGTTATCAAGTCTCCCCACCATATGCCAGCACCGCTCTCACCCCTTGCCACTCTGGGTCACCGATCCTAATAGGTTACCATTCGGAAGGCTCGTTAACAGCAGATAATCCCGTACATCGCTGGACTGGCAAGTATCTAATTGACAGATAACGACTGGTGACTAACCCAATACAATGTAGGCCAGGTGACGCCAATGATCAACGTGTTCCCTGATGATGTCCTGCTAGAAATATTCGAAATATATGTGGATAAAAATCCAGAGGCGTGGCAATCGCTGGTGCATGTCTGCCGACGATGGCGAAGCCTTGTTTTTGCATCACCGCGTCGCCTGGATTTGCGCATTGTTTGTACACTCGGAACACCTGTACGGGACATGCGGGACGTCTGGCCAGCCTTGCCTCTTCTCGTTCAGGGCCATGTCCACGAAACATCACCCCTGGATAACATCATTGCTGCACTCGGATACCCAAATCGCGTATCTGGAATTAAGCTCTGCGGCCTTACAAGTTCGCAATTGACAAATGTTTGGGCAGCGATGACGGAGCCATTTCCGGTGCTGACGGATTTGCACCTTCGAGCCTTCGACAGAATAGCGCCTCTCGATCCCTATATGTTCATGGGTGGTTCAATACCACGTCTACGATGTCTTCGGTTGGAACGCATTCCATACCCGGGGTTACCGAACCTTCTTTTATCCGCCACTCACCTCGTCAGTCTTCGTCTTTATGATATTCCTCATTCCGGGTATATCTCGCCCGAGGCGATGGTCACTTGCCTCTCCATGTTGGCCAGCCTCGAAACACTTTGTCTTGAATTCCGATCCCTCGAATCTCGCCCTTACTGGGCAGGCCAACGCCTGCCTCTTCCGACACGCTCTGTCCTCCCTGCTCTCGTGTATTTTCACTTCAGAGGGGTCGGTGAATACTCGGAGGATCTTTTGTCCCGCGTCGATGTTCCTCGACTCAACTACGTGTCTTTAAGCTTCACCCATGAATTCCAGATTGACAACCCTCAACTCGCCCAACTCATCAGTCGCACTCCGGCGTTGAAGGCACCGGACGAGGCACATATGATCTTTGATGATAGCGCCGGTTGGGTCACGCTTTCATCAAAGGCATCTGGCCCTGGACAATTCAATGTGGAAATATCATGTGGGGCGTTGGAATGGCAACCTTTTGGCATGGTGCAGGTCTGTAACCTGTCCCTGCCCCCCCTTTCCACGGTGGAAGACCTCTACATCTCCGAGAACTTGAATGCGGGTACGCGACTGAAGTGGGATTATCCTATAGGAAGCGAAGAATGGCTGGATCTTTTGAAACCATTTACCTCTGTGAAGAATCTCTACTTATCTGATGATCTTAGGCAACGTATCGCGCCCGCCCTGAGATTGCTCGTTGGGGACAGAGTAACAGAAGTATTGCCCAATCTGGAGACCATTTTCTTGGAGGGGCCCCCATCGGGTCCTTACATAGGGATCAGGCAGTTCATTTCCCCGGCACTTCCTCCAAATTCCTACTCGTATTCAAGTTGGCTGCGGCCGTCGGATCCCTCCTGGCTGGATCACGAACAGGACTTTACCGCACCACCGCCCAATCCACAGCCTGACTGGCAAAACTTTTCCCTGGACGGGCCACAGCCATCTGGACCTTTCCAGGAAGGCATTTGGCAGTTTATTTCCCCGCAACAACCCGACCCTCAGAATCTTCACCTGGACTATATACAACCGTCGGGACCTTCGGACGGATATTCTGAACAACATTCTTCTGCACAATTGGCCACCCTGTATAATCTTTACTCCGAACAGTCACAGACGTCGAGACCTTTCCAGGAAGGCGGTTTGTCTGACCCCCAGAACGTTCACTTGGATTGGTTACAGCCGTCGGAACCTTTCCATGGAGATTCTGAGCAGCATTCTTCTGCACAATCGCACACCTCGCAGAATCTGTACTCGGTAGAGTCACAACCATCGAGACCTTTCCAGGAAGGCGATTGGCCAGGCCTACAGGATCTTCACTTGAATTGGTCACTGCCGTCGGAGCTTCTCCACGAAGATTCTCAGTATTCTTCTGCGCAATTATCTGCCATGCAGAACCTTGACTGGGAAATTTCACAACCGCCGAGACCTCTACAGGAAGGCTGTTGGCCTGACCCGCAGAACTTTCACTTGGATGGGTCACGGCCGTCAGAACCCGAAGAGTGGGAGGAATGCATTGGGCAGTTCGCTGCCGCGCGACAGAAGACCACTCACCCCATAACAATTTCTTTCCGGGAAAGAAAGTACGAAAGGGTGAAACGTTAATGATCGATAAGTACGCATCGCTTGCTATCCCCTTAGCGTTTGTTGTCCCTTTCCATTCTTCTGTCTTCCGTTGTTTACCTTCTCGGACATCAGTTACGTGATTGTCTGTATGATATCGTTGCGTTGAGTGGAGGCAGTTGGCAATACAGTATAGTTGAAATGAGGCCATTTCCCTGTGGCAGGATAGGATCGAAATGTTGGCGTTGCGAGAAGCGGCGGCTGCGTTTCCCTCGAGCTCCTAACAAACATCACGGTCACGTGCAGTAGGCTCAGCCTTGTTTTATGTCAAGGGCAATTCACCTCACGTCTCAAATAGCCCTTCAGTTGCTCAAAACCGAGTGTTTCATCAAGCCACCTAATCATAATCATACTCCAGCTCTATCCTGTTTCGTTTCACACGTGACTAGGCTAGCGACCCGGTCCACTGATCCTAATGGTTTCCCCATTCTGAACGCCTATTGACGGTAGAGAATCGTGCACCCCGCTGGAACGACAGCCGATATCAACGAATGCCCTATGCATAACGTCACGCGGTGCGATGTAGGCCAGACGATATCCATCGACATGCTTCCTGGTGACGTCCTACTGGCAATATTCGATATCTATAAGGACAACCATCATTAAAGGAAGGGATAGAGGCGTGGCAATCGCTGGTGCACGTGTGTCGGCGATGGCGAAGCCTCAGGCTCGTATTTGCATCATCGCATCGCTTGAATCTGTGACTTTTTTTTGTAAACCCAAACACCCGCGAGGGACATACTACTCGAGCAGATGTGTGGCCAGCCTTGCCTCTCATCAATTGAAACTGGTAGTCTCTTCTCGACTTCGTGTGACGCTAACATCGTTGCTGCACTCGAGAGGCGCGATCGCGTGGGCACTGTAATTTCAGATTCGCAAATGGAAAAGATTCTTATCAACGATGCAGGTGCCATTCCCGGAGCTGAGACATCTCTCCCTCAAGGCGGCATAGGACGGAGCAGTGCCACACATCCCCGACTCACTTGGGTGGATCTGCCCCACTGCGAAATCTCGAGCTGAGTGCATTTGGCCTCGTTCACTTGGAGGAATGACATTAGGCAGCAGTCTGTTGCGGCGCGACAGATTTCCTTGCTACAGCTATTCCATTAGTGTTGGATATTACCTCTCCCCTTACGCTCGTTCTTGACTCCTGGGGACATAACTTAGTGGTAGTTTTTCTTTTTTTGGTTATCATCCACCATGATTCAGATCTATCCAGACCTGATTGCGATTTGCAATGATATCGTCGTTCCCTTTTAACCATGTGCTCATACGTCTCGGCGCCGTCTATCTAATTCCCACCTGTAGGTCCGCTGTTCACCTGCATTTCGTTATATATCTTGGCCTTGGGTCCTTGGATCGCCAGCTTAGTGTCGGGTATTTTAGGTTTCCTCCATAAACTGCAAAATTTTCGATGTTCCTAAGCAAGGTTCTATTTCAAATACAGGTGGAGGGCCAAGGAAGCAAAAGGAATAAGAAACAATGAAGGACAATCAATCATTGAGGAACCCTCAAGGCCAAAAATTCCGGATGGAGTACACCGAACGGGAGTCGAACCCGTGCCGCTTGCTTGGAAGGCAAGCATTGATAACCGCTTCACCATCGGTGTGACCTCATCACGCCGCACCATTCAGAACAACACCATAAACAAGCTCCCCAAATCCCAAAGAATAGAACTCACTAGCTCATGGGTAATGCAACTATGAGAAAAAAATCCAGGGTATTATGATTTATAAACCTCAAGCCCGCCGACGATATCGTCCGCCTACCTCCTTCGCAGCCTCCTTAGCGACGCACGCTCTCTTCTTCCGATGTAACTCCGCAGCACGCTCATTAATCTTCTCTACAGCTTGCGTGTCCGGAAACCCGATATCCCAATACCCCGGTGGTGTCGGCGCACGCTCCCAGTGCGCCCGATGCCGCGACACCGCTTGCCGATGTGCACTCACCTCCGCCCGTTCTCCCAATCCTTCATCCGAATTTCTATAATCGTGAGATGCTGCTGCTGATTCGGACGCGACCAGGGTTGGCGAGGATGGCGCGCGTGAAGGAGGTGAACTCCATCGTGGCGCTTCTAGACGCGGTGGGAGAGGCCCCACAGCAGCATACCACTACAAACGTACTGTCAAAACGGAATGTCGTGATTGGAGGAAGGGGAAGGGCTGCTCACACCACTACATTCTTCGCACTCGCCCGCAATCATTCTATGTCGATGCCGCCCACGCACGACTTGATCGAATGCAAACGGCACGCCAGCATTCGCCGCAGGATCAATTTCAAATTCTGCGTTGAGGGTGGTATCATCATCGCGTCCGTGCGCACTCTTGTATCGTGATATGGTTTGGAGGGTGACTATTGATGTGGAGGCTGAGACGGTGGGCTCCGCACCCCGTCTGGGACGTTTTGTCGGTGGGGGTGAATGGAGGGCGGGTGGATGTTTGGGAGTGGGGGGACATGAGGAGAGAGAATATCCTCTTGGGCTTGCGCGTCCCCGTTGGGAGGGCGTAGAGGGCTGCCAGAAGGTAAGAGCTAGAAGAAAGGTAGATGTTATGATATTGTATGCATGGTGAGTAAATGCGCAGAACGAACCTTGCGAGTCTTCCTGCGTTTGCGACATATCTTCCACAGTCGTATCTTCATTCTCATCGCGTTTACGCTTAAAATAACGTGTGTAAGGTGAAGTTTCGGATGATATGCGGATTTTGCTACATTGAGCGGAGATAAGGGGCAGGATGGGATCCAGAAGGCTCGGGAAACGCACCGCGGGGTGTTAAGAATGGAGGCGTTCGGCGAGAGAGGGCTTTTTCGTGGACTTGCGGCTTTAAACGGTGAGGATATTGCACCTGTGCGGTTTGATCGAGGTTCTGGATGAGTGTTAGTAAAAGGTGTATTGCACAGAAGAAAAGAAGGAAAGGGGACACAAACTCATTGGCGTCATGGGCGTTTCCAGCATCTTCATCGCGGATTGCTGCTGCAATCCTGGAGTTGAACTACTGCAACTACATGTACGCATTTCATCGCGCTCGGTAGGCTTAGGCGGGATATTACCCTTCTTGGTGATAATCCATTTTTTGAAGCGCTTGTATTTCTTCATGCTTTCCGACAAAGTTTGGGTCAGACGATCACGGTCTGCGAGGAGGTCATCGTAACGCCCTTGAAGAGTGGCCAGTTCAGCGCGAGTAGCGACGAGTTGTGAGGTCAAATCGGAGTCACTGCGAAAATAAATAAGAAGTACAGGGAAGGAAGCGGATGACCATGCGTACTCTTTTCTGCTTTGCGATTCCGGCAGTCTCTGCGACCTCGTCGACTTCGAATGAAAGGGCATCAGAGCACACCAACAACGCCGTCGCGTCGCGTGCCCAAAGTAGATCACGCGATGCAGTCACACATGTACATTCCCACGATATCACCGTCATTTACAGTCGTCACACGACCATGGCAGAGCAGCTGGTTGGACTCGTGATTTTTGCGTTATACTTCCTGTCCATATTCTTCTTGTTCTCGATTATCCTACAGAGCATCTCGGAACGCCATCGCGCCTCGGGCAGGGGCATATCCTGGTCTCATGCCAGTCTTGCACTCGTCTCGTTCGTGTTTACATGGTACTGTGAGTGTTCATCATGCGTCTGTGGATTCACGGACACATCCTAAAGCTCCTGACAAAAAGATATGATTTCCTTCCTGTGGTGGAGTTTTGTGGACTATGAGCAAAGCGTACCTGGCAGAAGTTCCGGGTCTACGCTTGTTCGAGTGGCCAACTGGTTGAAGGACACTGCTCTATTTGAGCAAGCGTGGACCATTGTGTGTGATGGGCCGCTGAGGTGGTGGTGGAGCGAGCAATTATGTCTGTTTACTGTTGGCTTTTGGACAGTTTTCCTGCTGACAACTGGTGTGTACACCCCCCTTTGGCGACCAATGACTTTTACTCAATTATTGTTACCTCTAGGCCGGGAGCACGGTGTGAGACATGTGTGGGCGTATATGCTCTTCGGACAACTCGTGGCCATTTCAGTGGCCAGCAACTTGTTCTTCCTTGCGGTTCCTCGCAAAGTCGAGATGAAGCCGCGCGCCTCCACGCAGAAGACAGTCCCACCGGTGTTATGGCTGAGCGTGCTCGCATCACTCCTGACTGTTTTCCTGGTACCGCACTCGCTGCGGCACAACTACTTTCTCTCGAACCTGTTCATTATGCATGCGCTCCTGGTCATCCCTCTCTTCCGTCCAGTCACGAGTGCGCGCACTGGTCGCCTGCACATTCGCACACGGACGCTGTACCAGCTTATCACGCTGCTGGCCGTTATCGCCCGCCTGCGCACGTCCTTATCAACGAACGGACTTCAGATGATGACCGGACGGAGCATGCTGTGGGCCGTGCTGACGTCGCACCCGGCGCAGGCGTCGATTGGGTGGGATGTTGTGTGGACGACCATCTCCTTTCTGCGGTGGGTCCAGCCGAGCACGCTGACTGGTCAGCTGACTGTCATTTCGGCGACGGCGCTCTTGTCAATCGGTTCATCGGCGCCGTTTGCTATGTTAAATGTTATATAAATAGTTTATATAAAATAATGAATAAAATAATAAAAATCGATGCCCTTTGACCCGCCACGCCGAGCGAGTTTCTCTCTCTCAACGAATCATTCACGAAATGTCCTCCATCCCTATCAATCCAGCCTCAGACATGACCGCACCCACTCCTCAGAACACTCCCCTCACGCATGCCCCAATCTCCGCGACACTCTCCCGCCCAACCGTGCCAGACATCTCTGAGGATGCCGAGCCCGGAGAAGAGTCCGCCAATGTCCACGACGCCGTTTTCGGTCTCGTGCAGGGAAGACTCGCCGGTCTCCTAGGCAAGAGTTCAGGCTACATCGAGAGTCTACCAGACGGTGCCAAAAAGACCCTCGAGGCCCTCAAGGGCGTTCAAGTAAAGCAGAACTGAGTTGCAGAATCAGTACAAGCGCGAATGTCTCGAGCTCGAAAAAAAAGTGAGTCATCCGATCTATCTTCCCTTTTTTTTGTCCTTTATGTCCGTCCATCCACTGCCCCTGCTCCCCTTACTGTCCGAACAATACCCCCACTCTCGTCCTGGATTGTGGGGTGACTCTGTCTTCTCCTTCTCCCCAGCCCAGTCGCCTTCGATCCGAAATCGGGTTATGATAGTCGCTAATAAGTGGGCGTTCCTCGACCCACTCCCTATTCAGAATGCTCTGCCGTAATCCATCTACCCCGCATTCGCACTCTCCCCGTCTTTGACCATCCATTATGAATTGTTCGTTACTGACCAGCATGTAATTCACACCCGCAGTATCTCGAACTCACCAAACCTCTCTATGCCCGCCGGCGTACTCTCATCCATGCCACCGATGAGCCCACCGCCGAAGAGCTCGAAGCCGGTGCCGCTCAGTCTGTCAAGGACGATGCGGACGAGAATCCGCTGGCTGTACCCCCGTCGACTGTCCCCGCTGCCGTACCCGAGTTCTGGCTCACCGCACTGAGGAATCACGTCGGCCTATCAGAACTGATCAACGATCGCGACGCTGGCGCACTCAAGCACATCACTGAGCTCCGTATCGAGTACCTTCCCTCTAGCGAACCCAAGCCCGGGTTCAAGCTCATCTTTGAGTTTTCTCCAAACGAATATTTCGAAAATGACGTGCTCGAGAAGACGTACGTGTACCGCGAGGAGGTGGGCTATTCGGGCGATTTCGTGTATGACCGCGCGATTGGGACGGAGATAAAGTGGAAGGATGAGAAGGACTTGACAAAGGAGTTTGAGATCAAGAAGCAACGAAACAAAAGTGAGTGTCGTTTTTTTGTACTTTTGATTCTTGTTTTCTGACGTTAGATTTTACTAGATACAAATCGTACGCGACTCGTGAGGAAAGCACACCCGACAGAATCTTTTTTCAACTTTTTCTCACCTCCTGTTGCCCCGAGTGAGGAGGCGATCGAGGCGGGGGAGATCGGCGAAGAAGAGCTTGACGAAGTGGAGGAGAAATTGGAAATCGACTATCAAATCGGCGAGGACATCAAGGAGAAAGTGGGTTCTATCTGTCCCTCTCTTACTTCTCCTACCTTTCTCATCCTCTATGCTTGCCTGTAGGTCATACCGCGTGCTATCGACTACTTCACCGGCAAGGCGCTCGAATATGACATGCTCTCTGAAGATGAGGACGATTACGATGACGAAGAAGACGATGACGATGACGACGACGTAGACGACGTAGACGAACTTGATGGTATGGTACGCCTCTTCTCTAAATTTTCCCTTTTCTTTTTTCTTACCTCGCTACTTATCGTTGAGGAGGATTCCGATGAGGACCTACCACCAACGCGACGAGCTCGTCGTGGAGGAAGAGGGGGTCGTGGTGGTGGGCCACCGGCAGCGAACGTGAATCCGGAGGAATGCAAGCAGCAGTGAGCAGACAGGTCGGTCAGTCGGTCAGTACGCGGCCAAGTGGATTTTTCTGCAGTCAGAGTAAGTATAGTAGTGGGAGGTGGCACCACCACCAATCGGGACCCCTTTCCAAACCATCCGTTTTTTTTAAAAAGAAAAGAACCAAACAACAAAAGCAAAATAACTCTCCTGAGCCTCTCTTTAGGGCGCGG